TACCATTACAGAGGTGGCTGGTTGCTCTTGGAGCCAGCTTGGCCTTGCCTGGCATGCACAGGCCCTAGGTAATGACAGTGCTCTGAGTGAGACTGTCCTGTCTTGGGCCAAATTCTAAGTCTGGCCAGGGTCACAGAAGGCTGAGTTGCCCAGATGGTAATTCTGGATGCTGCTGGGGGCCCATGGTGCCCCTCCCTTTTAGGTGCTCAGAATGAGACTTGACTGGGTTAAGGTACTTTAGGTGTAATACTTGTGCCCCAGGAATAGTCCTCTGTCCCACAGGTTGGCTGAGATGTATGCTTTCTGCTGGCTGCCAGGTTTGTCAGAATGCCATGTTCGCCCTTCCCTCCAGAGACCTCAAAGTGACCAGCTTCTCCTTTGATAATGACTTCCCAAGGCCCAGGAGTTTCTGGGTCTGCAGAGCAGCTGGCTGCCTGCTGCCCTGGCTTAACTTCCATGTTGTGCTGGTCACTACCCGCCAAGGTGGCTGAGATGCAGGCACCATGCAGGGCAGTTGTCTCCGGACCTGAGACTTGGTTTTCAAGGAACTGGACTGGGCCCAGTTTCAGAGCTCTTATGAGGTTGTCCTGGGTGGTCTGGGGGTGTCCTAAGAAGATGCAGAATGGAATTGCTTCAAGAATAAATGAGATTACTGTCAGCACAGAACAGGCACTCGGTGAGTGCTCAGGGATTACCCTCAGTAGTTACCCAGAGGACAAAACCGCCCACCTGGTAGTGACTGCCCTCAAGCTAGGAAGAAGGGAAAAGAGTGGGTCCCACTCACCTGAACCTGATCAGTCAGCTATGCTGATATGTGCCTCTCACCAAGAAAATGGCCCTGCATGTAGACACTGACTGTGTGCCTCTAAATGCTCCACAACACAAAAGCTATGGGGACTCAGTGATGGTGATATCATGAAGTGACACAATCCATCACAATGGGAGCTGCTTGGATCAATAGGGCCCACAGTCAGTGTCCTCTGTCCCCTCAACTGATGTGTGCATGCAATGTGTTTGTGCATGTGTGTGTGTGTCTGTGTATGCACCTATGTGTGTTTGTGTTGCTTCTCTGACCAGGCCTAGCTGCTCCACTCATTGGTGCACCCAGGTCCTGATTGTTGTCATCACTGGGGCCCAGGGCCAGCATTAGAATTAGAACCTCCACAGGTGCTCCCCAATCTCTGCTCTCCTCACCCAGGATGGTCCTGAGGATGCAGATGGAGGAGCACCGGGCAGAGCAGAGAGGGCTGGAACCCACTCTAGGTGGAACCCAGGTCATGTGTAACATTCTAGGTCTGCCAAGCAGGCTGGATTCAACACACCTTCTCACACTCTCTTTCCAGCAACCCTCCAGTGTGCCCTAACTCATCCTCTCTAGAGATGGAGGCAAGGAGGCTCACAGACAAACCCCTTGCCTGAGGTCACACAATGGCCAACTGACCAGGTTTCTACAGACCAGGTGCCCCTGATCAGGTCCTACTGACTCGGCTTCCAGTGATTAGGTCAGCAGGTCGCCACTGATAAGGTCTTCACTGAGAAGGCCACCACTAACCAGGTTCCTGCTGATCAGTTCCCAGCTGACTAGGTTCTGAGGACCAGGTCATCTCTGACAATGGTCCACTGACCAGGCCCCTGAGCAGTGGTGCTCAAAGTCTCATTCCAAAGTCCCCCTCAGCCCACAGACCCTCCCTCCCTTCATGTGTGCCCAGAGGTCAGGGCCTGGGGCTTTTCTTGAGATAAGACTTCTCCTCCAAGATGCAGGGAGGGACAGTCAGCCTCAGGCTCCAGGTGCCCAGCTCCACACTCACTTCCCAAGACCCTCTGGGTCCATCTCAAAGTGAGGTGGCTGGGAACTGCCTAGACACATTATCTAGGCTATTCCTGAATGTCAGAGTGGGAGGGAGGGGCATTTTGCAGATAAGACACCCTGTGCTGCTGTGTCTCCCAGGACCCTTCCTGGAGAGCCCTGATCTAGAAACAAAGCACACAGGCTGCAGGGAGATGAACCCAGAACCTTCAAGGCTGAGCCACTAACCACATGAGGACTGTCCTCAGACAGCTAGAAGGCCCTTTGCTAGTTTCTTGGTACCTCAGTGGATGCAGCAGCAGTTCTTCTGTTGGGAACAGTGAGCACGTGTTGGGGAGGGCTCCCCTGTGCTTCCTCGGTGGCTCCACCTCTGGTTCTAAGAGATATCACTCATTTCAGGGCTGGGGTAGAGAAAATGCAAGATTGGCTTAGAACACCTTGTCCCAGAAAATTAAAACGTGCTGACAGAGTAACGGGGATGGATAAAAAAGACATAAAGTCAGCTTGAAATGTCTACCACTGGCCTAATCTTGGGGAATTGGAACAAAAGAATCATGAGCTTTCCCTTCTCCCTTATGTATTTGTTTTATTTCTTTATGTAGAACAAAGGAGAAATAAGAAAATAATAAGAAAATAATCATCTGGCAACCATCATAGCAATAATTATTCAAACACAAGTCATCCATGAAATGCTAAATCTGGTGGATTTTGAGGAGTAACCAGATATTTATGGAACCTCAAAGTATCACCACACAAAATACTGTTGAGCTACAAAAGGAAATCGTAACATTCCCATGGACAAACCTGGCAGGTACTCCTTAAGTTTCCTACTATATAAAGTAAGAAAAAGTGTAAAATGCAAATAAGCCTTCAATGATGTTTACTAAAGTATCAAGAATGACTTGGTTGTTTGGCTGTTTCAACAGTTGACATTTGGGGAATTTGAGTATTTCAAACTCAGTCATACTGGTTTTCGTTTGCAGGGTCCACTTAAAACTTAAGGAAGCTAAAAAACATTATTTAAAATACCATGTAAATTTTCATCATACATTTGATATGAAAATATTCTACTTTATCATAGATTGTGATGTTATATATTTTATGAAAAACAATTAAAATGTCATCTAAACAGCCCAGTAATAAAGTTTTATAATATTTTAAATCACATAATTTTTCCTTACGGTTTTATAATATAGATACTGTTTTCATTAGATGTGGTTTACCAGTGGATAATAAAGAAGAAGGTAGATGGGAGCAAGTGTCCATCACAGCAGCAGCTGGAAAGATAAAGAATTATGTTTTTTACCTAAAACATTTTAGTTAACTAAATGTAAGTTTAAAATCTAAAGAGTTGAGAACCTTGTCAGAGTTTATAAGAATGAGAAATATGTATGTACAATTATAATATACAAAATAACCATTAAATAATTTAAACATGGGATTAATTATGTTTGTGGTTCAATATAAGGACTTTTTCATTCTTCATTCATGTGCTCAACAGCCACTTGCTAAGGTACTAAAATCAGCACTGAAATTACAAGATGAAGATGGTAATGGTCCACCTCTCAACAAACCTATGCTGTAACCTAAAAAACAAAACAACAGACAGACAAGCAATGTCAATATAAAGTCATAGACACTATGACAGGTATACAGCTGGGCACTACTGGAACACACAGAAGGGATATCTAGCCCAGTTTTGTGTCAATATCATAGTCTTTCTGGTGGAGGAGATACGTAGGTTGATACCTGAAGGACAAGGATAGAGAGAAGAGGTGAAGGCAAAGAGCTTGTGGTGAGGAAGAGTTCTGTGGAATTCTACTCCATACAATTTGGTGCTAGAGCCAAAATCAGAGTGCAGTAAGTGGCAAGAGACAAGGCTGAATAACTTCATAAAAATCTTGTTGACCTGGGTGTTTTTATTTTATGGTGAAAACTTTGGAACTTTTCCTGAGAACAAAAGTAATCCAAGGACTTTTATTTTTTTTTTTTAATTTTTTATTGGATTATAGGTTTTGGGGTACATGAGCAGAGCATGCAAGACAGTTGCGTAGGTACACACATGGCAGTGTGCTTTGCTTTTCTTCTCCCCTTCACCCACATTTGGCATTTCTCCCCAGGCTATCCCTCCCCACCTCCCCCTCCCACTGGCCCTCCCCTTTTCCCCCCAATAGACCCTAGTGTTTAGTACTCCCCTTTCTGTGTCCATGTGTTCTCATTTTTCATCACCCACCTATGAGTGAGAATATGCGGTGTTTCATTTTCTGTTCTTGTGTCAGTTTGCTGAGGATGATGGATGAATCTGGAAAACATCATCCTCAGCAAACTGACACAAGGACTTTTAAAATGTTGCCATAAGCAGTCAAGGGACTGCCTATGAATGGTTATTGCTTAGCTAAGTATTTCTTAATGAGTCTGAGATCTGTTGGCCTTAAGTTTCTACCAAAATTCTGAGAAGCTGATGATGCCTCTGTTTTCTGTGAATCGTTTCCAGCACTGTGAACCCAGTGTGCTGGGTGATGGTTCCATGAGGATGGCAAAAGTGAAGAAAGTATACATGCAGTAAAAAAGAAATGTGAAGACTTCTCAGGAACTTTCAAGGCTGTGAAACATGATGAATTAATGGTGCATAAGTATCTGTTTCATGGTGAAAGTTTTTGTTTTCATGTCTTTCATTAAATGTAAGAAAAAATTCTTAACGTAGTATTGACCAACCCCAACAATGAAAAGAAATGCCATTTGCTATTTATGCTTTATGTCTGAAATAAACCTATATTTGACTAATACATTTTGGCAGCATACTCCTCTTTCTTTAACAATTTGTGGTACACAGTCTGGCTCCATCTAAAATAAGTAAAAAAAAAAGTTTAACTTAAAGAAGAAACATTATCATCGGAATAAGATATCACTTACAAAATGTGGCCTTTAGTATTTATAATGAGTAGACATAACTTGAAGTTTGCTTAAATAGAAAAATAATTATATAAATAAAGTAAAATTTCTACTTATTTTTAGTTTAGATAATAGAATATATATGTATAATGCTGTTTAGATTCATCTGAGAAAAATACAGTTAATATTAGTCTATTGCATACATGTAATTTTAGAAAGATGGTGTTTTGTTAGCACAAAAGTTAAACAGTTATATTTTGCAATGAATGCATTACTTTAATTTTTTAGTAAAATGCTGTTCTTTATAAAAGTTTAATACTTTTTTTACATCAATAAATTTTTTCTTACAGAGAAATTTCTGTTTTCCACTTATAGTAAACTTTTTTATATTAAACGTTTCTTTTCACTTTTTTCTTATTCTCATTTGTGTTCTAAATTAAGATGTTACCTGTGTAGGTTTCTTCCAAAGGTATATTGAGGAATGTTCAAGTTTGGAGTACAATTGAACCCATCACACAGGCAGCTGTGTGTAGGATCCAAAAAGTAGTTTTTCAACCCTGACCCACTCTGTCCCTCCCCATTCTTATTTCCCAGTGCCTATTGTTTTCATGTTTATGATAATGTGCACCCAGCATATAGCTCCCACATATGAGTGAAACATCAGATATTTGATTTGTTTCTGCATTAGTTTGCTTAGGATAGTGGATTTCATCTCTATCCATGTTCTGCAAAGATATGATTTTGTTCTTTGTATGGCTACATGGTATTCCATGGTATATAAAATTTTCTGATTTACCTGAATTTTCAATCTACCTTAGATGTACCTGGGTTGACTCCATGTTTCTGCTATTATAAATAGTGCTGTGGTGAACATACATGTGCATGCATCTCTTTGTTACAATAATTTATTTTCCTTTAGGCATACCCCTAGTCTGGTAATAGGGTTGCTGTATCCAATGTTCATTCTTAGTTCCTAATTTCTAAACTGTTATTCATAGTAGCTGAACTAATTTACATTGCCACCAATAGTGTGTGCTTCCTTTTCTCCACAGCTTCCCCAGCATGTGTTTTTTGTTTTGTTTTGTTTTGTTTTTGACTTTTATACAAAAATCTTTCAGACTGGTGTGGGATGGTGTCTCATTGATGTTTTGTTTGGCATTTCTCTGATAATTAGCAATGATTAGCATTTGTTAATATGTTTGTTGGCCACTTATAGGTGTTTTTTTGAGAAATGTCCATTCATGTAATTTGTCCATTTTTAATGAAGTTATTTATTTTGTGCTTGTTGATTTGTTTAGGTTGTTTATGGTTTCTGGATAATAGGTCTTTTCTTTGTGCATAGTTTGTGAGTATTTCTTTCTGTTTCTTAGGCTGTCTGTTTAACCCCTTGACAGTTTCTCATGCTGTGCAGAAGCTCTTCAGCTTAATTAGATCACACTTGTCAACTTTTGTTATCCTTGCAATTGCGTTTGAGGACTTAGCCATAAATTAATTCACAAGTGTGATGTCCAGAATAGTATTTCCTAAGTTTTATTCTAGGATTTTTGTAGTCACTGGATATACTGTTATGCAAGAAAAGCACAAAGCTTTTTTTTTTAAGATGGACTCTCCCTTTGTCACCCAGGTTGTAGTGCAGTGGTGTGATCTCGGTGGCTCACTGCAACCTCTGTCTCCTAGGGTTCAAGTGATTCTCCTGCCTCAGCCTCCCAAGTATCTGGCATTACATGTGCCTGCCACCATGCTCAGCTAATTTTTATATTTTTATTAATCAATGAGAGCTTGTTATCTTGCTCAGGTTGTCCTTGAACTCATAGCCTCACCTCCTCAAGTGCCACAACAACTGACCAGAGCCACTGTGGCTCCCTGATTTTCATATTTTCAGTAGAGATGAGGTTTTATCATGTTGGTCAGGCTGGTCTCAAACTCCTGACCTTAGGAGATTTGCCCACCTCGGCCTCACAAAATGCTGGAATTATATGCGTGAGTCCCTGTGCCTGGCCAAGCATAAAGCTTTTAACATAAAAATGAAAATGAACGTTATAGTTTTATTTAATTTATAAAATGCACTTATTTTGGATCCTATTAAATAATAAACATCTATGTGTGGTTAAGTGTTTTAATACCAATCATTCACGTGTGATTATGGGTGGAAAGAGTTGAGATGGTGCAATGAAACTTTAAAAGTGATATGAGCTGGGTGCAGTGGCTCCCACCTGTAAGCCCAGCACTTTGGGAGGCCGGGGCTGGCAGATCACAAGGTCAGGAGTTTGAGACCAGCCTGGCTGATATGGTAAAATTCTGTCTCTAGTAAAAATACAAAAATTAGCCAGGCATGGTGACAGGCGCCTGTAGTCTCATCTACTCAGGAGGCTGAGGCAGAAGAATTACTTGAACCCAGGAGGCAGAGGTTTCAGAGAGCTGAGATTGCACCATTGCACTCCAGCCTGGGGACAGAGTGAGGCTCTGTCTCAGAAAAGAAAAAAAGCATTATGAACCACAGCCAAACTGCAATCAACTAGAGAGTAAGCCAAAGCATCTCAATGTATACCTTCAGTTATTAGGCAATAACATGCAATTTCTAAAACCTAACTTAAATGCAGCTTTTAAAGAAATTTTAAATATGTCAGTTCATTCACATTTATTGAATAAAGTTAATAAATAAGTATCTCTTGAAAATGACAGCTACAGGGAATTAAAATATGTCAAGTTCCCATTTTCTTTCTGTGTTAACATGGCTAATTCACATGCATAAATCAACAGAAAAACTCAGTATTTTACCACACTAAAAATAAGAATTATATTAAAGAAATGAAACCCAAAAGAAAGGTAATATAACTAACCTCAGTCAAGTCATTCTTGCAATTATTTCAAGCCTGTGGGTCTGAAGTAGGAATTCTTTTTTTTTGTTTGTTTTTTTGAGATGGAGTTTTGCTCGTTACCCAGGCTGGAGTGCAATAGCATAATCTCAGCTCACCACAACCTCCGCCTCCTGGGTTCAGGCAATTCTCCTGCCTCAGCCTCCTGAGTAGCTGGGATTATAGGCACACACCACTGTGCCCAGCTAATTTATTGTATTTTTAGTAGAGACAGGGTTTCACCATGTTGACCAGGATGGACTTGATCTCTTGACCTGGTGATCCACACACCTCGGCCTCCCAAAGTGCTGGGATTACAGGCATGAGCCACCACGCCTGGCCTGAAGTAGGAATTCTTATGGGTGTTTCAGGAATATATTTTCTGTTTTATCCTATACTATTAAGATTTTCAACATAAGATGACTCTGGGTCTGGCCTCGTAGGAAGAGTGCCGAGACAAGATTTCATTTTCTCTTTCTCCATAAGGAGCTTGGTGCTGAACACTGCTATTTTCTTCTTCAATCTGGAAAGAAAGCAAAGACAAATGCTCAGTATTTCCTTTTTTCTTTAATAATTTAGAATGACTTACATTTCTTTTTAAAGTTGACCTGAGAGTAAATCAAATTACCTACTAATGTTTTAACACTGAAGATGTGTGAGAGCATACCTTTTGTAAACAATTTTAATTTAATAATTGTTCTAAAGAAGTACGTGTTTCTAAGGTGTTTCTGCTGAACAAGCAGTGCAAACAAAGTAGACAGTGAAGAGAAATGGCTGTCAGTGATGTTCGGCTCATGCTGCCTTCTAAAATCGCTCTCCTTGTTAGATGCTAAAGATTCCATTAGAAATACTTGTATTTAAAGGGTAACTATCTGGGAAAGTGGATATGTTAATTTGCTTAACTATAAGAACCAATTCACTATAAACAATTATATCAAAACATCATGCTCTACTCCTTAAATAATGAAATAATGTGATTAAGAAAACTAACACGAACAAACAAAAAAGCTAGAAATACTTGTAAAACAGTTTCAGGTTTCACTCTTGTACATTTCGCCCGTTATCTGGGAACAATGAAGCATTTGGCACTGAGGTATATTTCAGAGCAACAACTCCTAGGGGAGAACTAGATGACTGGATTGCTGATCAAAAAGAACTAAAGCATTTCTGGAGTCAATTAGCCCCTAACACTGTGACCAAGGTACTGTACCTGGGGGCTTGTTCTTTCTGCCTTCCACACATACCTTCAGGCTGAACAAGTTGTTATTTTTCAACCACTTTGTGAATTACACTTTTTTTCATTCCTGTAATAATTATTCCTTATTTCACAAGATTGTTTTTCTGTAACATCATGAAAATGTTACACAAATATCTGTCCTGAGGCACCCTCTAGTAATAATACTGGAAATCACAATCAAAAACAGTCCACTGCCTCAGTGCCACTTTGGGTTTAGGTTGTCATCTACCAAAAAATAAGTTACGCTCATTAGTATTTCTATTTAGGGAAATTCTGAAAAGTAATTCTATAACAAGATCACTTTATTAATGACAAAGCTTCAAAAATACTTAGTGAGAAAAACTAATAGATCAGGTTAACTACATGAGACATTTCAGGGGAAAAAAGGCATACAAAAACAAAGAAAGGAAAGAAACTATCCTTGACTAAGATTTTAAAGGTAAGATTATTTACTAACACTATTTTTCAAAATTACATTATGCAATTAGCATTCATTTTCTACTAATCTCCTAAAGTCACCTCACTAAAAATTATGCTTTCAAAACAAATTAATAAGCTTAATCCTGTAAGGCTGGTTGCCTTGCCGGGAGTAATGAAACATTCATTACTCTCTGGGCCTGATAACTGCGTCATCACCCAAGCTCATTATCTGGCTTTGCTACATGGCTTCCCCCGCACCAACCGCTGCATACCATACCCAAGTCCTCACTCTGCAGTAAATTATAAATCCAATCTCTAGCCCACTGTTTAAAAAAACCCTGCAGAAAAATTTTTAAAGAAGCCCCACCATACCCTGCTCGGCAACAGCCTGCCCTGTGCACCCCAGCAAGCCTGCATACCCAAAGTCCTGCCCACCTACCAATGGCAGCTAGTTTCATGTACTTCCTACTTTAACTCCATTCACTTCCATCTCAACAGCCAATAGAAATGCCTTCTCTTTGTTTCCTTAGTAGTCAATCAAAGTCCACTTACCCAAGGTCCCACCCACCTACCAATGGCAGCTAGTTTCATGTACTTTCTACTTTAACTCCATGTACTTCCTGCTCCTTGACAGCCAATAGAAATGCCTTCTCTTTGTTTCCCCAATACCCAATAAATTGCCTGCCCTCCCCATAAAACCCCATGGCCTGCACAGCCGGGCGCGGCTTCTCTGGTCCCCCCTTTGGACCACTGAATCTCGCCTGGGAGCTGAATAAATTAACTTCTCACTTTCTTATACTTGCCTTAGTTTTCTAGGCAATAAATCTTACAAATTAATCTTCTGTGAGTGTATGTTTTGACTTACTTTATGTATTTTTTTGACATGGAATTGTTAGCTTTTCATGTTATTGCAAAAACTTCCTTATATTCTTCTAATTCAGTTGTAACCTCTTCATAAGCAGTTTTTATTTTGAAGAGTTTCCATCCCGCATCTTTAGCCGTGAGTTCCATCTCATTTTGTGAAGCTGTATCCTCCTATTTTAGCTGCTCGAATTGTTTTTCATAATCTGCTTGTTTCTAAAACAAATGAAAAGAATACATTTTTAAAACAAGTGTAACATAATTACCATATATTTGTTGCTTTTTGAGTCAGTGATTCAAAGAGTAATTTTGAAGATGTTAAAAATGAGGCTGAAGCTTAAAATATTTGTCAGCAATATCAACAAAACTAATAACTGAATCCAGATAAGTATAATTTATGAAAATTTGAAATTTTTATTAGCTTAGTATTAATGCAATCTGGTCATATTGAAAGTAATAGAATCCATTTATAATTTTGAAAATTGAACAATGAACAATGTAGCTTAAGAACAATTCAAAAGTACCACATAATTTCTAAATCACGATTTTCACTTATGCCAACTGATCTTAATAATCAAATCACTCTATAGTGAGAATCGTTATTCTGAAAGATTAATTTTGTTATGATAATAACAGAAATTTAAATATTTTATAAAACGGCATTTGTTTTCTCAGAACTCTACAAAGCAAATTGCTATAAGAGAGGAAGAGAAAACATAATATATACATTTCCAAAATATAATTTGCAGTGAAATAAATGAAAGCACAATATGGATAAACTTACTTGATTTAAAAAACTAACCAGTAAATGGATTTCTTCTAATTTTTCTATTGCTTGCATCGCTTTTTCATCCAGCTCCAATTTATATTCTTGTACTTTACCAACTTCTACCATATTTTTTCATATGTGTCTTAAGATTTAATGTTTATTTTTCCAACATCTTTTTATCCTCCTCATGTTTTTCACGTTTCTTTTGTACTTTTTTTCATAGATAATAACTCCTGTTGAATAACTTGATTTTCCTTATTCGAATTGATACATTTTGAAGATACAGCTTTCTTCTCTGCTATAAGATCATTAAGCTGCATGAATAAAATAATAAAGCTTAATAATGAAGTAGGCTGAGAATAATCAAAAATAAAACCAATAGCAAATTTTAAATACATTTACTTGCAATAAAATGTTATCTATAATGTAGTAGATTCTCCAAATGTGAATACTTAAATTCTGCAAATTTCAAAAACAAAGTTAAAGCAACTTTGAGTCACAAAATTATACTCTTTACTAACATCATCTTTATGACAGAACTTTTGCAATTGAACTTACTTTGATTTTTCAGATAATTTATTTTTGTTCCTCCTTAAATGGCACTAAGTTATCTCTTAGTAAAGAGTGTTGCCTAGGTGCAGTAGCCCAGCCTGTAATCCCAGCATTTTGGGAGATCAAGGTGGGTGGATTGCCTGAGTTCTGGAGTTCGAGACTAGCCTGGCCAACAGGGCAAAACCTTTTTAAAATACAAAAAAATTAGCCAGGCATGCCCATGTGTGCCTGTAGTCCCAGCTCCTCAGGAGGCTGAGGCAGAAGAATTGCTTCAATACAGGAGGCAAACATTGCAGTGAGCTGAGATTGCATCACTGCATTCTACTTGGGCAACAGAGCAAGATACTGTCTCCAAAAAATAAAATAAAGTAAAATAAAAACCTGGGCATGGTGGCTCACATGTGTAATTGCAGCACTTTGAAATGCCAAAGTGCGAGGATCACCTGAGGTCAGGAGTTCTAGACCAGCCAGACCCATATGGTGAAATGTCATCTCTGCTAAAATATGTGTCTAACTCCTCTCCCTCATCATTATTTCTCATAACTTGTCCACGAAAATGTTTCAGAGCTATCATATTGAGTTATTTAGGCCAACATCAATAAATGGCTCTCAGAATAAGACTTTGAAAATAATATAATACTCTATACTAGGCATGGTGGCTTGTGCCTATAATCTTAGCATTTTAGGAGGCTGTGGCAGAAAGATCACTTCAGGTCAAAAATTTGAGATCAGCCAGAGCCACATAGTGAGACCCCCATCTCTCCAAAGAAGTTAAAAAATAAATAGCCAAGCAGGGTGGCTCATGCCTGTAGACCCAGCTTGTTAAGTAAGAGACTGAGGCAAAAGCATGACTTGTACCCAAAGTTTAGGTCTTCAGTGAATTATGACCACATCAACACACTTCTACCTGGAAGACACACAAAAACCATATCTCAAACAAGCAAACACACACACACACACACACACAATAATGAATCCTGTAAATAAGGATTCTGATGCCATAAGCCTTTCCTTAAACTGCAAATGTTTCATGCCAATTTAAATTGCATTTTAAGAAATAATAATTCTTGGGGTAAAGGTCATAGAATAAAACACCCAGAAATAAATCCACATATTTACAGTAAACTGACTTTGGGCTAAGGTGCCAAAAACATACATTAGGGAAAGGACACACTTTTCAAATGAATGGCACTGGGAAAACTAAATTATAACTTCCTATTGTTCTGAAAAATTTTACCTGTCAAGAAACCCGAGTGGCACTCAGAGCATTGGAGGAACACAATTTATTATGCCAGTGGGCCCAGAAGTGTTCACACCCAAAAGTCTGGACCCTGGCTAAGAAAACTACATAGATTTTATAGGTGAAGGGGCAAGGAAAGTAACTCTGAACCTTAGACAATGCACGGTTTAGACAACATGAAAGTTTTCTTAAGGCTTTTCAGTTAGTAAGCAATAAATTGAGGCACAGAAGCAGAAAGAAGCAGTTACAAAAATAGGGTCAGTTTTAAAAATAGGGATGGTTGCTGGCAACGTGCTGACAAAATCCTGGGCAAAATTTCTACTTTACTATTTAACACCATGTAACAAAATAAACTCAGAATCAATTAAAGACTTAAATGGAAGGCTTTAAATAATCAAACTACTACACATAATCACAGGGGAAATGATTCAGGAAATTAGTCTGAACAAAGATTTTTATTGGTAAGACATCAAAAGCATAGGCAAAAAACAATTGATAGACAAGTGGTACTACATTGAGCTAAAGAGATTCTGCCCAGAAAACAACTGAGTGAAGAGAAAACTTGCAGAATGGGAGAAAATATTGTCAAGGTAGTCATCTAATAAGAAACTAATAATCAAAATATAGAAGAAACTCAAACACCCTGATGGAAAAAAATGATCTGAGTTCAAAATTGGGCAAAAGATCTGATTAGACATTTCTGTTTTTTTTTTAAAAAGCAGAAATACAAATGGCCAATAGATACATTTAAAGATGCTCAGTATCACAACCATCAAGGAACTACAAATCAAACCTGCAATAATCTTGCTCCAGGTCAAATAAATGGCTATCATTGAAAAGACAAAAAATAACAAATGCTGTTGATGGGAAGGTAAATTAGTACAGCTGCAATAGAAAACAACATGACGTTTTCTCAAAAAACTAATACTGGAACTGCCGAGGGATCCAGCAACTCCACTACTAAGTATTCAGGCAATAGAAAAGAAGAAATCAAAAGGATATCCGTACTCGCATGTTTATTGTAGCACTAGTCACAACAGCTAATGTATGGAATCAACCTACATGTCCATCAACAAATTGATGGACGAAAATTGTGGTATACATACATTCAGCATATACAGAAATAAAATCTGTTATTTGTGGCCAATAGACATCAACAAACTAAGAATTGATAATCTAAAAATAAACCTGCATGTTTACAGTCAATTGATTTTATACAAGGTTAACAAAAGAACAAAATGGGAATAGAATAGTCTTTTCAACAAATAGTGCTGGGACGACTGGGCATCCATACACAAAATAAATAAATTTGGACTCTCACCAAATAACCATATTTAAATATTAACCCAAAATAAAACAGTTAACCATAACTGCTAAAACTACAAGACCCTTAAAAGAAAACATTGGCATAAATCTTTGTGACTGCATTTGGCAGTAATTTCTTAGCTATGACATCAAAGGAAAAATGGATTCAATTGACTTGAAAATTGAAAACTTCTGTGCCTGAGAAGACAGTATCAAGAAGGTGAAAAGGCAAGCCACTGAGTAGAAGAAAAGACTCAAAAATCCTATATCTGACAAAGGACTTATTGCTGCGATATATAAAGAATGCTTGCAATTTATAAATAACAAGATAACCCAATTTTAAAAATGGGCAAAGATTTTGAATAGATATTTCTGCATAGAAGATATAAAGATGGATATAATTGTATTAATAAATGCTTAATGTAATTAGTCATTAGGAAAGTTTGAATCAAAACCACATGTGGTATCACTTCATATCACAGAATGAAATATTTCTTCAACAATAAAGATAAAATAAGTGTTAGCAAAAATATAAAGATATTAAAATACTTATACAATGCTGGTGGCAATGTAAAGTGGTGCAGCCTCTTTGGAAAACAAACTGGCAGCTCCTCAAAAGGGTAAGCATGAAATTACCATGTGACCCAGAAATTCCAGTCCCAAGTATATACTCAAGAAAAATACTAAGTATATACACAAGCACAAAATCTTATAAATGTTTACAGCAGTATTATTAATAAGAGCCAAAAAGTGGAAAGAACCCAAAGGTCCATCGCCTGATGAATGGATAAACAAGATGTCTGATGTATCCATACAATGGAATATTACTCAGCAATAAGAAGAAATTAAGTACTGATACTGATAGAAGCAGGAGACAGCAAAATGCCTAGGCAGATATGGCAGGGTCCCCGGAGACTCTCCAACCAGCCCTGTAAGTGTTTACACCAGATGTTTTGTGCCGATAAGGGAACCTGCACAGGGTCTTGCCTGGACATGCCCACAGTGAGCTGGAGGCTCACATACACTGTGGTAATGGGGTAGAGCCACCAGGAATTAACACCTTATGCAGGGGAGAAGCCTGGCCTCTTCAGCTCATGCGCAGGGGACCCGGTATTCAATTGTGAGGTGAAAACCTGTTTGCAAGAATCCTCTCTTTTCTGCGAGCCTTTTACTTAATTCCTCCCTCCCTTCAATGTGTCTGTGTGCCCTATTTTTCCTGATCATGAGAGAAGAACACAGATTTAGCTGAACTAAGGAGCAAAAGCCCTGCCTCAATACTTGCTACAACACAGATGCAGCATGAAAAATTATGCTAAGTGAAATATGCCAGTCACAGTAGACCACTTGCTTTTTATTTCAGAGGCTTATAGGAAAATCTATACAAAGATGGCAGGTGGTTCCCTAGGGCTGGGGGAGGAAGGGGAAACTAGGGAAGATGGCTAAATGATGTGGGGTTTCTTTTTAGGGTGACAAAAATGTTCTAAAATTGACTGTAATAATGATTGTATAACTCTCTGCAAATGCTAAAAGCCAATGAATTGTATATGTCAAATGAGTGAATTGTGTGGTGTGTTTATTATTTCTCAATAAACCTGTTAGCTCCCAAAATTTATTTGGTACTAGTGATCTGGAGACATGTACTGCTTGGTTTCAGATCACTGGCCAGCATTCAAGACTAAGAGAATCAACAGCATGTCCTTTTTATAGAAAAAAATATGATAATATGATATATGTTTTAAAAACTATCCTTTTCATTAGTATCAAGTTGGGAAAATTAAAGGAAAAATATCTTTCTTTCACTGCTTAAAGCACTAAGAGATTTATGTTGAGGAGTAAGACCATATTTTCTTTTGCCCCAATTTCTATCTAAAGGGTCTGTAAAATCACACCCTTCAAACTATAAAATCTTATCAGATGGGTATTATAATTACTATTTTTATTAGCATTCTTTTATTTTAGAAGTTCACACCTATAATTTCACAACAGTTGTGAAAATGATACTCAGAACTAGATATTTTGATAACACATAGCAGAAATCTCTGGTTAAAGATGGTCACTGCAAACTGAAATCAACATTCAATTCTGCCTTTTGTTTTTGTACAGAATCAATATAATTCTGATTCAGACAGATAATAAGTTACTATCTTAACCTTCACTCATAATCTTCACCACAAATGTAGGTCAGCACATACTTAAAAATTGTTAATGATCCAACACTGTCACATGTGACATGGCACACTTACACTTCATACTAAACAAGTTGACAGTTTAATAAGATCTGATCAGCATATGCACCTGAACCTTGTCTCTTCTCTCAGAGCACTGTACACAGATAGTTAAGAACTTTTGTACAATAAGAAATTCACAGGGATGAGGTCAGGCACGGTGGCTCACACCTATAATTCCAGCAATTTTGGAGGCTGAGGCAGGTGGATCACTTGAGGTCAGGAGTTCGAGACCAGCCTGGCCAACATAGTGAAACCCTGTCTCTACTGAAAATACAAAAATTAGCTGGTTGTGGCAGCACACACCTGTAGTCCCAGCTACTCAGGAGACTGGGGCAGAAGAGTCACTTAAACCGAGGAGGTGGAGGGTGCAGTGAGTCAAGATCGCATCACTGCATTTCAGCCTGGGCAACAAGCAAGACTCGGTCTCAATGACAACAAACAAGATATTCACAGGGATGTATTTAAATAGGTAAACAGCAGTGTAGAACTACATCCTTCCTAGTCAATGACACCTTTAGATCTTAAATAGGCTCAGAAATAACAAAGGGCTTATACTGACAACTGCACAAAAACGAGTAACTTGGCAGCACAAGGTAGGGATTTTATGTGTAGCAAGAGTATAAACTGTTCTACTTTCATACTCTGCTCATTGCTATATCCCTTCATGATTCCCTGAGATTCATGTGAAATGCCCATCTAATACTGCCTGGAGAAGGGTCTCCTCCTCCTCAGCTGCTTCATAATCCTTTATTAGTACTACTAACTGCAGTAAACTAGGGGTTGGGCCATCCTCTTGCAGATTAAGCTCTCTGCAAACTGTTCTGTGGACTGCCACAACAATGACTTGGTCTAGGAGGGCCTGATTCACAGCATCTCTCTCAATTGCTCCTTTCTGTACCAGCTTCTGTAACAAAGGCTCCAGTCTTAGTATGTAATTCAACAACTGTTTTTCCTCCTTCTGGTAAGTGGTTAGAAATTTGTCATGCAACTCTCTAGGACTATCTGTAACCCCAAATACCTGCTCAAGAGCCTGCAGGCATTCATCGACAGTAATTAAAAATTGCTTATCTTGAGAACATCAATAACATCAAGGCTCTCTAGCACTCGCCTTCTCTTCTCTGCATCTGACACCTCCCACACCTTTAACATCTGAGTAGTACAAAATAGCCAGGATTCAAATTCTTCTTCTTCCAGTTCTGGAGAATTACTGCCTGAGAATACACTCAGCTTTTTATAGTGGAAGTAACCACAAGGCGGGCTCAAGAGCCTCATTTAATGCCTGTGCCAACATAGGGGCCCACATTTCTGGGATCATGCCCTGCCCTAGGTCTAAAGAGCCATTTTCATATCTAAGAGCTCTGGTCAACTCACCCATTGTCATGCCCTCTTCCTCTAAAAATTCATTTAATCTGCTTAGAAAGTCATTATCTGGGTCGGTGGTCTTAAAGATCACTCTCCAGCAACCCACTTTTCCCGGGATCTCCTTAGGGACCAGTGCATGATTAGTCTCCGCAGCAAGCCCAACTAGGACTACTTTGCAGTTCTCATCCCTCCTGAACATTCTTCCAAGCAGTCTGTACTCCCCTAGGGGAGCTACACCAGCCTGCAGAGCCTCCTCGATTTCTACTACACCAGCTCTTGGGGATGCCGGCAATCCACAGTGCTTTCCGAGGGCTCATGTCCATCCCCCTGCACCAGTCTTCTAAAAGCCTCAAAGTCATGGTGCCCGAAATAATAGACTTAAGCTCTAAACATTCCAGACCACAAGCAGCCACCGCAATTCAAAGTAATCCTCCCTGGTACCCCAGAGAAATCTCATCAACGTGGCGAGGTCCAGCAGCCATGAACTAGTGCTCCGTGCTCGCGTCTGTGCGACCGCAGGCAAGGTGCCTGGCCAGGCCCAGAGAAGGCGCGAGAAGGCGGGCTCCCCTCGGCTCCAATGGACACTCGGGGGCCACAGTGATTGATGCCGGTCCTCCAAGTCCCTGTGATGCTCTCCGCAGCAAGGAGTGATGGGGCAATGACAGTCGCGAGCAGGCACCAGAGGGCAATGCTGAAAAGGGCTGAGTGGCCAGGCCCAGACAACTGTTCACCTGAAGGGATGCGCTACCACCTGCAATGCCAGAGCCGGGAATCTAGCCCCAATCCTGGCCGATTTGTTATCACTCAGAGAAGCTGCGTGGCGGGCAGAGCCAGATGGGTATTACTAACTCTTATAACGTGACTTACTTACTAACCTGATTCTGGTACAGCATCACAGATAGCAGAAGCTGAAGAAAATCAAAATATTTTACCCCCAAATGGCTGCCATAGAGCCAAGAGACAAAAATGGCTACCACAGGACCAAGAGGTAAAAATGGCGCTATGAAGCTGTCTTCTGTGGGGAAAATTGCATCTATATGAAGTCTTCATTAATGTAGCTAGATCTCTCCTCTTCTAGATCATTTCAGATCTAGAGAAGATTAACTAAGATTCTGATGTATTTAACATCTGAAAAGATATTTACACCCTCTATTTTCTCTGAGGGCTTCCACCTATGATGCATTATCTACATAATAAGAACCTTGGCCTCCATAATCACCTTATCTTAAGGCATTCCTTTCTACTAGTTTCAAGTTTTAGACAATGGCTTAACTTTCTTTACCAATTGTCACCTAACCTCTCCTTTTTTGATGGTCCACTTTCAGACTAAACCAATGTATGCCTTTCCTCATATTGATTTATGATTTTCCCTTAACCTCTTCTGTTTGATGGTCCACTTTCAGGCTTAACCAATGTATGCCTTTCCTCATATTGATTTATGATTTTCCCTACAATTTCTGTCCACTAGAAATACACAAAACCAAACTGTAATGTGACTGTCTCACAAAAGATTCTCCAGATCTCTTGAGATTGTGTAACCCAGGGCCACAGTCACCACATTGGCTCAGAATAGGCCTTAAACATGTTTTGGCATAATTTGGGTTTTTCCATCATTAATATTCCCAAATTATGTGGTTTTTAATTCTAAGACTAATTTAAAATGATGTTGTGTTAGAATATAAATTATTCTATATAAAGATACATGCATTTGTATGTTCATTGCAGCACTATTCACAATAGTAAAGATATGGAATCAATCCAGATGTCCATCAGTGATAAGACGGGATAAAGAAAATATATACACCATAGAATACTATGGAGCCATAAAAATGAATGAGATCATGCTCTTTGTAGAGACATGGATAAACTTGAAGCTGTTATCCTCAGCAAACTAAGCCAAAAGAAAAACTAAACACTGAATATTCTCACTTATAAGTGGGAGCTGAATGATGAGAACACATGGACTTGGGGAAGGGAACAACAAACACTGGAGCCTGTTGGGGTCAGGAGGGACAGCATCAAAATCAATAGCAAATGCATGTGGGGCTTAATATCTAGGTGATGAATTGATAGGTGCAGCAAACCATCATGGTAGACATTTACCTGTGTAACAAACCTGCATGTCTCGCACATGTATTCCAGACCTTAAAATAAAATAAAATTTATTTAAGCATTGCCTTCTGTTATATCTTCTTAATCAGAATATCCATTTTCAGTTCATCTGTTTTTAAGTCTCCATGGAAACTGAAGTCTTCATTTCCAAATACATTTAACATACTTATTGTCATTTCTAGGAGTTTCTTATATCTGCAGAAATGCACAGAATTAGGAAGTCAAGTATTTTTAAGAGTAAATATTTAATAATTGATTAAACAGATTTGTTATGGTGTATCAAAGAAACAAATCTATAAACTATGATCCTCTCAGTTTCAACTGAACATAGTTTAAAAGCATTCTATATGAAATTATGATCTCACATAAACAATATGAAGAACAATTTTTTTTTGAGATGGAATTTTGCTCTGGTTGCACAGGCTGAAGTGCAACGGCATGGTCTTTGCTCACTGCAAATTCTGCCTCCCAGGTTCAAGTGATTCTCCTGCCTCAGTCTTCCAAATCACTGGGATTATAGGCATGCCCCACCACACCAGGCTAATTTTATATTTTTGGTAGAGATGGGGTTTCACCATGTTGGTCAGGCTGATTTCAAACTCCAGACCTTAAATGATCCATCCACCTTAGCCCCCCAAAGTACTGAGATTACAGGTGTGAGCCACCATGCCTCACCTAACCATACAGTTGTTATAAATGAACTATTCAAATTATAGGCCATAACACAGATATGAGTAACCAAGATTAAAGTAAAACATATACATGTTTGAAAAAGACACAAAAACACATTTTTGATACTGGTTGGCCACAGTCTATAAGAAAAGTAAACACAAAAAGCATCAATGAGACATTCAATGCAGAAAAAGAATTTTGTCAAATGCCTTCTCTGTGTCAATTGAGATAATCATGTGGTTTTTGATTTTGGTTCTGTTTATGTGGTGAATTACGTTGATAGACTTGCGTATGTTGAACCAGCTTTGCATCCCCGGGATGAATCCTACTTGATCATGATGAATAAGTTTTTTGATTTGCTGTTGCAATCGGCTTGCCAATATTTTACTGAAGATTTTTGCATCTATGTTCATCATAAATATTGGCCTGAAGTTTTCTTTTATTGTTGGGTCTCTGCCGGGTTTTGGTATCAGAATGATGTTGGTCTCATAAAATGATTTGGGAAAGATTCCCTCTTTTTGGATTGTTTGAAATAGTTTTAGAAGGAATGGTACCAGCTCCTCTTTGTGTGTCTGGTAGAATTCAGCTGTGAACCTGTCTGGACCTGGGCTTTTATACAGTGGTAGGCTCTTAATTGCTGCCTCGACTTCTGACCTTGTTATTGGTCTATTCATAGTTTCAGCTTCCTCCTGGTTTAGGCATGGGAGGACACAGGAATCCAGGAATTTATCCATTTCTTCCAGGTTTACTAGTTTATGTGCATAGAGTTGTTTGTAATATTCTCTGATGATGGTTTGAATTTCTGTGGAATCTGTGGTGGTTTATGCCAAAAACCCTCAATAAACTTGGTATCGATGGAACGTATCTCAAAGTAATAAAAGCTATTTATGACAAACCAACAGCCAATATCATACTGAATGGGCAAAAACTGGAAGCATTCCCTTTGAAATCTGGCACTAGACAAGGATGCCCTCTTTCTTTCACCACTCCTATTCAATATAGTACTGGAAGTTCTAGCCAGAGCAATCAGGCAAGAAAAAGAAATAAAGGGTATTCAAATAGGAAAGGTGGAAGCCAAATTGTCTCTATTTGCAGACGACATGATAGTATACCTAGAAGACCCCATCGCCTCAGCCCAAAAACTCCTGAAACTGATAAGCAACTTCAGCAAAGTCTCAGGATATAAAATCAATGTGCAAAAATCGCAAGCATTCATCTACACCAATAACAGACTTAAAGAAAGCCAAATCAAGAGCGAACTGCCATTCGCCATAGCTACAAAAAGAATAAAATACCTTGGAATACAACTCACAAGGAACGTAAGAGACCTCTTCAAGGAGAACTACAAACCACTATTCAACGAAATCAGAGAGGACACAAACAGATGGAGAAACATTCCATGTTCATGGTTAGGAAGAATTAATATCGTGAAAATGGCTATACTGCCCAAAGTAATTTACAGAATCAACGCTATCCCCATCAAGCTACCATTGACTTTCTTCACAGAACTGGAAAAAACCACCATGAACTTCATATGGAACCAAAAGACAGCCCGCATAGCCAAGTCAATTCTAAGCAAAAAGAACACAGCGGGCGGCATCACACTACCGGATTTCAAACTATACTACAAGGCTACAGTAATCAAAACAGCATGGTACTGGTACCAAAACAGAGATATAGACCAATGGAACAAAACGGAGGCAACATAACATATCTACAACTATACAATCTTTGATAAACCTGACAAAAACAAGCAAGGGGGAAAGGATTCCCTGTTTAACAAATGGTGTTGGGAAAACTGGCTAGCCATGTGCAGAAAGCAGAAACTGGACCCCTTCCTGACACCTCACACTAAAATTAACTCCAGATGGATTAAAGACTTAAACATAAGACCTGGCACGATAAAAACCCTAGAAGGAAATCTAGGCAAAACTATCCAGGACATAGGAGTAGGCAAGGACTTCATGAACAAAACACCAAAAGCATTGGCAACAAAAGCCAAAATAGACAAATGGGACCTAATGAAACTCCACAGCTTCTGCACGGCAAAAGAAACAGTCACTAGAGTGGATCGGCAACCAACAGAATGTGAAAAAATTTTTGCAGTTTACCCATCTGACAAAGGGCTGATATCCAGAATTTACAAAGACCTCAAACGGATTTACAGGAAAAAAACAAGCCCATTCAAAAGTGGGCAAAGGATATGAAAAGACACTTTACGAAAGAAGACATATATGAGGCCAAAAATCATATGAAAAAATGCTCATCGTCACTGGTCATCAGAGAGATGCAAATCAAAACCACACTGAGATACCAACTCACACCAGTTAGAATGGCGTCATTAAAAAATCTGGAGACAACAGATGCTGGAGAGGATGTGGAGAAAAAGGAACACTTTTACACTGCTGGTGGGAGTGTAAATTAGTCCAACCATTGTGGAAGACAGTGTGGCGATTCCTCAAGGCCTTAGAAATAGAAATTCCATTTGACCCAGCAATCCCATTACTGGGTATATATCCAAAAGACTATAAATCGTTCTACTATAAGGACACATGTACACGAATGTTCATTGCAGCACTGTTTACAATAGCAAAGACCTGGAATCAACCAAAATGCCCATTGATAATAGACTGGATTGGGAAAATGTGGCACATATACACCATGGAATATTATGCAGCAATCAGAAATGATGAGTTTCTGTCGTTTGTAGGGACATGGATGAATCTGGAGAACATCATCCTCAGCAAACTGACACAAGAACAGAAAATGAAACACCGCATATTCTCACTCATAGGCGGGTGATGAAAAATGAGAACACATGGACACAGAAAGGGGAGTACTAAACATTGGGGTCTACTGGGGGGAAAAGGGGAGGGCCAGTGGGAGGGGGAGGTAGGGAGGGATAGCCTGGGGAGAAATGCCAAATGTGGGTGAAGGGGAGAAGGAAAGAAAAGCACACTGCCATGTGTGTTTCTACGCAACTGTCTTGCATGCTCTGCTCATGTACCCCAAAACCTAAAATCCAATAAAAAATTAAAAAAAAAATTAGCTAGGTGTGGTGGCACATGCCTGTAATCCCAGCTACTTGGGAGGCTGAGGCAGGAGAATTGCTTGAACCCTGGAGGTGGAGCTTGCAGTGAGCCAAGATCGTGCCAATGCACTCCAGCCTGGGCAACAAGAGTGAAAATCCATCTCAAAAAAAAAAAAAAAAGGAATGAATCAACAAATAGAGGTACAGGGCTGGATGCGGTAGGTTGCACCTATAATTCCAGCACTTTGGGAGGCCAAGACAGGTGGATCTCCTGAGGACAAGAATTCAAGACCAGCCTGGCCTACATGGCGAAACACTCTCTCTACTAAAAATACAAAATATTAGACAAGCATGGTGTTGCACGCCTGTAACCCTAGCTACTTATGAGGCTGAGACAGGAGAATCGCATGAACCTAGGAGGCAGAGGCTGCAGTGAGCCAAGACTGTGCCACTGCTCTCCAGCCTGGGTGACAGAGCGAGACTCCATCTTAAAAAAAAAATGGAGATACAGTTTTAGCATGGAATAACCCAGCAACTGAAATGAGTGAACTACGGACACAAGGCAACGTCATGGATGAACATCACAGACCTAAAGATGAGTGAAAAAAAACAGATACAAACAAGAATTCAGCATAAGATCTCATCATGTATACGAGGTCCCAGGACAGGCAAAAGTAGCCTATTGACAGTCATCAAGGACAGAAGAGCAGCCCATGGGTGAGAGTCGACACAGACTGGGAGGGTTCCGAGGGAACCTTCTGGGTGCTGTAGCTTGATCTGGATAGGGTTATGTGGACAAATGCATGTGTGAAAACTCATCATTTTGTGACTTCAGGATTCGTACATTTCACTGTATGTATATATCTTCATCATCCCCTTTACCTACTAAGTTCAACCTCACTTCTTTCCACACTGGCCAAGTGTGGTCTGTCACAGGGCCTCTGCACTTGCTGGTCTGTCTTCCTAGAAGGCTCCCCTTCCAGACTTTCCTTTTTCCAGTTAGGTCTTTGCTTAAATGTGGCCGCCTTGGAGAGGTCTCTGTCCCACATCTGAAGCAGTCACTCAGCTCCTCCCTAATGCTTCACCTTGTCACTCTCAGCACAGCACTTGTAGTCCTTATCTGATGTGTTCCTGGTTTTGTTTGCTTGTTTATTGTCTGTCTCCCTTCACTAGGATATTCGCTCCAGGAAAGCAGGAATGTATCCATCAGGGTTCAAATCTTGGCTTCACTTAGAGCAATGTCTGGCACACGGTAGGTACTAAATTAACACTATTAATTAGATATTCATTTCTAGAGCAGGTAGAATGATGTCTCAAGGCTTTCCTCTCCTCTCACCAACCCTCCCCTTCTAGGTGGTGACAGAAAAGTCTTGAGACATCATTCTACCTGCTCTACCTGCTCATTTTTTGTTTTCTGATTCACCCCGAGAGAGACCTACAATGTGCTGGGTGCAATCTGAACACTTCAGGAGTTCACCGAGAGGTAGAGGGAAAAGCACCCACGCCAGATCTTTCTAGTGAAGTGTCAGTGATGGACAAAGCAACATGTGCCCAGGCCCGGGGGAATGCCCAGAAGTGAGTGGCTGGCTCAGTCTCCTGTTCCCAGGGCCGGGGGCCCATGGGAGCTCCTGGGTGTGGCCATGGATGCAGCCAAGTAACAGGAAGGCCTATGCCTTGGCAGCAAGCCACCTCCTTCTAAAAAGCCAGAGAGCTCAGCCAAGGCCAGCCACTGTCCCTGCCTGCAGGCCGGATCACCTGCTGTGATAGCAACCTGTCTCGCCAAGCCAATGCACTGGGCACAGGAGGCACAGCTCCAGAGGGGCACAAGGCATCTGCCAGGATCCCCAGTTCTGGCAAGGGTGGAACCTTGGCCAGCTCCCACCACAGCTGGGAGAGTTGTGCACTGTTCCTGCAAATGTGTGCAGGGCCTGCACAAGCATGCACAAGTGTGCCCGGTGCAACAGCTGAGACTGGGCTTCCAGTAGAGGGGAAATAATTGTCAGTGATGAAATCTTCCACTTACTGAGCCTTGATTACATGCCAGACACGAGGAAAAATACTTTTCACATATTTCCTCATTCAAGTCCCACAACAACCCTATGAGGCAGGTAGTTTTCCCACTTTACAGGGTAGCCACAGATTGGTTAAGCAACTCACCTAAGCCTCACAACTAGGAAGCCCCAGAACCAGGATTAGAACCCAGGCATTGGGCTCCAAACCATTAACATTAACTTCCAGGATCAGTCTCTCCACTGACTGAGTTATTCAGTTTCCCTACTAGTCATTCATTTTCTGAGCTCTGCACAAGCAAGAAAAAAAAGACAGGTTAGATCAGGTCTCTGACTTGAGTTGCCCCTAGCCCCCTTACAGGAGATGCAGATAGATAATTGTGATGTCAAGCCGAGGGCTCACACCTGTAGTCCCAGCACTATGGGAGGCTGAGTTGGGCAGATTGAGGTCAAGAGTTTGAGACCAGCTTGGGCAACATGGTGAAACTCCATCTCTACAAAAAATACAAAAATATGCTGGGCATAATGGCATATGCCTGTAGTACCAGCTACTCTCGAGGCCAAGGTGGGAGAATCACTTGAGCCAGGCAGGCTGAGTCTGCAATTCGTCATGATTGTGCCATTGCACTCCAGCCTGGGTGACAGAGTGAGAGCTGCCTCAAAAACAAATCACAATGCCAAGAAGTAAGTCTCTAAAAAGCAAGAGCCAAGGTCTCTCTGGGACTGAAGACAAAAGAGGGCGGCCGGGCTCCCGCATCTGCGATGTGAATCTCAACTGGGGGCCCGGGGATTGGCATAGGAGCTCCTTCCAAATCTGAAGCCTGCCATGGGTACCCATCTCCAGAGGTGAAGCTCTGGTCTGGGAGGCCACCTGCTGGACAGATCGCAGCAGGACACCCTCAGCAGCTGGGCCTCTACACCTCTCCTTCATGTGTGTTTCCTGAGTGCCCACTGGGTGCCTAGCACCGTGCTAGGCACGGGAGAGGCAGAGCAACACAGATAGTAAACCAGACAGCCCTGTGCAGCTTGCAGTCTGGTGGGGGTGGCAGACATTAACCTATAGCCCCAGAAATAAAGATGTAATTCCAGCTGACACTAAGTACTTGGGTGCTCTTAAGAGGTGTGAGAGGGGGTCGAGGGGAAGGTCTTAAGGATGACCTCCTGAAAGCTAATTAGATGTGTGCCAGGCAAAGAGTGGGAGAAAGGGCATTCCAGCCAGAGGGAACAGCAAGGGCAAAGGCCCTGCAATGGGAACACTCACGTCACACTCCAGAAGCAGAAAGGAGGCTGCAGCAGCTGCAGAGCAATGAGCCCAGAGGGCTGAGGCCCACAGGCCGGGGTTCTGGAGCTTGTATTTTATCCTGCAGGCAATGGGAGGCACCGAAGGGTTTCAGTGAGGGGAGGGATGCCATCCCATCTAGCACAGCAGCTCCTGAGAGAAGTGGATTCTGGGGGGCCAGGGTGGAGGAAGGGAGACCCCCACAGTTGTCCAGGAGAGACACAATGGTGGCTGGGAACAGGTGGTGACAGAGGAGGTGGGAGGAGCAGGTGGATTCTAGAGAGCCATTTTGGAAGCAGGACCCACAGGGCTGGTATGGGGTTGAATGTTGTGGTATTGGGGAGGAAGAAATCAGGAATGGGGTTGGCTGTAGAGGGAATGCTGGAGAAGGTGCAGAGGAGTTCAGTCGTGATGAGTGGAGCAGGAGATGACTGTGAGGGAGCCCGCAGGAGATGCACGGGTGGGCTGGTGGGAGCAGGGATCCAGAACTCTGAGCAGTTGCCTGGGTAGACAAAGGCCAGGCATCATGGGCATTGGTGGGTTTTAAGCCCCAAGATGGGTGAGACCCACCAGCAGAGGCAGGTAGGAGGAGGGGAGAAGTCAAGGCACAGCCTGGGAGGGCAGGCGGAGGGGAGGGGAGGCCTGAGGCAGGGGAAGAGGCTCAGGAGACAAAGAGGACAGAGCAGGGGCCCAGAAGTGGGAGGGAAGCTCAGCCACACAAAAGTGAAGAGGTGGGGAGCACTTCAACCATGTCAAAGGCTGCTGTGGGACCAGGCAGGGCTGGAGCCAATTTGCCAACAGAGAGTCTCTCCTACAACTAAAGCCAGGGCAGATGCCATGGTGGGTGGAGGCAGGAGGCACACAGAATGGAACGGGGTGAAGGGCGACTGACAGCGGGGAGGTTCGGCACCGCCGACAGCTTGGCTGTGAAGGAGAAGATGCGGCAGCTGGAGGGGAGAGGGCTGGCTGTGAAGAAGGCAGCACAGGGCACAGTGGCGAGCACCTGTGGATGGCTGTGGGGGAACGGGAGGCGGAAACAGAGGACAGGCAGGGCTGCGAGCTTTCCAGCCTCTGTTCCTCCCACTTTTACCCTGTCTGCAGTTACCCCATAATAACCAACCGTAACTTAGATGAGGACAGCTGAGCCCCAGAGAAAAGCCCAATGTCACAAAGCGGGGGGCTCTGCCTAAGCTGGCTCCACACACAGCAGGCTGTTTGGAGTCTATCAAGAATCATGCAGACATCCTGTGGGCCCCTTGATCAAATCTGGATGTCCTTCCCTCCCTGCCAGGCTGGCACTGTCCAGCCACAGGAATCCCCCATCCTGACCCATCCCAGGCAGTGCTGCAGAGGACAGCAGACAGACTAGACACCGCCAGAGAGATCCCTTCTGAAGGGGCTTGACCCTCCTACTGTTGGGGGAGGGGGGCTTTTAAAGGAAATGAACACAAAAATACAAATGCAAAATTAGGTCCCAGGACTTGCGAGGGTCTGAAAGTTAAGCTTCAATTAGCCCCAGGGTAACTCCACCTCTGACTGCAGTGACCTTGAACCAGTGACTTTAACTCTCTGAGCCCGGGTTACTCTTCTGGAAAGACAGCTGGCAGTGTCGTGCCAGAGGGAGGGCTAACTAAGGTAACTGTGCAAAACGTTTATCACAAGGCAGCGTCCCAGTGAGTGCTGGACAAACGGCGGCAGTGGCTCTTAGGAACTGGGCTCCCTGGGGCTTGGAGTGGGTTGGTGTGGGGGAAGGGTGAAGCAGGGGATAAGTGTATGGGGGGGATGAAGGTGGGGGAGCCACTCTCTCCCTGAGCCTTTGGTTTCTCAGTGCAGCACCCCAGTAAGGTGGTGATGGTGTGCAGGGCCCATCCCACCCCTCCTGCCCACGCACCAGGCCCAGCCTGGCACCAAATGGGGGTCCTCCCTCCGCATTTGGTGGTGCTCCACAGTTTACCAAGCAGGCACATCCCACCCCTCTCACCAGCAGCAAGAGAATGAGGCCATCGGGCAAAAGCCCAGCGAGGGGACGGGACAGATTGGAAGGGACAAATCCCGCTGAGGCCAGAACCCTGGGTAACCCCCACCCCGCCCGACCATAGGTCCGGGACCAGAGCTCCCGCCGGAGCGTCTCTGTCTTGCAAGGCTCATGTCCCGGCCCCGGCTTGGTGGGGACAATGCCCCCTGCCCTGCAGGAACACTCACAGCCGCCTTCGGCCTGTCTCTCGCTGCGCACCCCACTCGGCTCTCCGGCTGACTCACCCGGATCACCCTCCGCGCGCTTTCCCACAGGGGCGGGCGCCTGGGCCTCCGCCTCTAGCCCCGCGGGCCGGCTGGGCGTGCTCACCTCCCTGGGCTGGGTCGGTCTTGCCATGACTGGGGCTCCAGCAGAGGGCCTGGGCTGTGCCAGGCTCCGAGCCAGGGGCGGCGGGGCGGGCGGGGCTGGGCACCGCGACCCACAGACCATTATGCCCTTTCACTGCAAACGGGAACGTGAAGCCAGAGGTAGGCAGGCAGGCACGCCGACTCCAAGTCCAGTGCTCTTTTCCTCTGCCTCGGCTTCCTCCTGCTGACAGCAATCAAGAAAACACCTATTATGTACACCGGGCACTGAGTGAAGGGGTCCAGGGGAGCTTCTGCTCCCGGGAAGCTCACAGCCTGAGAGGTGGATAACAGGGTACATGGTGGAACGACCCTGAGATAGGATGATTAGGCTGGAGAAATCCTCCTGGCTGCTTCCTGGAGGAGGAGGCCTAAAGAATTAAGCAACTTTTCCTGTAATCCCAGCACTTTGGGAGGCCGAGGCGGGTGGATCACGAGGTCAAGAGATCGAGACCATCCTGGTCAACATGGTGAAACCCTGTCTCTACTAAAAAATACAAAAAATTAGCTGGGCATGGTGACGCGTGCCTGTAATCCCAGCTACTCAGGAGGCTGAGGCAGGAGAATTGCCTGAACCCAGGAGGCAGAGGTTGCGGTGAGCCGAGATTGCGCCATTGCACTCCAGCCTGGGTAACAAGAGCAAAACTCCATCTCAAAAATAAAAAAAAGAATTAAGCAACTTTTTTTTTTTGAGACGAAGTCTCTCTCTGTCTCCCAGGCTGGAGTGCAAGGGCAAGATCTCGGCTCTGCAACCTCTGCCTCCCGGGTTCAAGCGATTCTTGTGCCTCAACCTTCTGAGTAGCTGAGATTACAGGCATCACCATGCTAGGCTAATTTGTATATTTTTAGTAGAGACAAGGTTTCACCATGTTGGCCGGGCTGGTCTCAAACTCCTGGGCTCAAGCAATCTGCCTGCCTCGGCCTCCCAAAGTGCTGGGATTACAGTCATGAGCTACCACACCCAGCCAACGGTTTTTGTTGTTGTTTTTTGTGATGAAGTTTTGCTCTTGTTGCCCAGGCTGGAGTACAATGGCGAGATCTCTGCTCACTGCAACCTCCACCTCCTGAATAGCTGGGATTACAGACACCCGCCACCACACCCGGATATTTTTTGTATTTTTTTTTTTTTAGTAGACATGGGGTTTTCACCATGTTGGCCAGGCTGGTCTTAAACTCCCAACTTCAGGCGATCTGCCCACTTTGGCCTCCCAAAGTGCTGGGATTACAGGCATGAGCCACCATGCCCAGCCCTTGCCAAAGTTTATTTTTAAATGGTAGTGGAGAGGATGTTTTTGGGCTGGAAAGATGTTCGGGTTTCATAAAAGAAGTAGTTTACAGAGCAGTTCACATAGTGTGATTCTTCTAAGTGCACATAAATGCCTAAGTGCAGGGCGTGGGGCAGGAAGAATTTACCCTCAAAATATTCACCACGGTCATCTCTAAATCATGGGGTTACAGGGGATTTTTCTCTCTATATATGTGCCATTATATACTCTGCAAGTTTTCGACAGCTAATAAGGCATTCATTTTATGTTTAAAAAACACAATATAGCCAGGCAAGGTGGCTCACACCTGTAATCCCAGCACTTTGGGAGGCTGAGGTGTATGGATCACCTGAGGTCAGCAGTTCAAGACCAGCCTGGTCTACATGGTGAAACCCCAGCTCTACTAAAAATACAAAAATTAGCTAGGTGTGGCGGCAGATGCCTGTAATCCCAAATACTTGGGAGGCTGAGGCAGGAGAATCGGTAGAACTCAGGAGGTGGAAGTTGTAGTGAGCTGAGACTTCACCATTGCTGAGAACTAAGCACCGTGATGGGGGAGGGGGCGGGAAGGTGAGGGAATAGGCTGCATTTTATCAAGAGTTGGGAGAGGAAAGAGGGAAGAAGCTGTGCAGGCCCTGAATGTTAGGAGACACTTCCACCCACTGGCCTCAGAGCTCGACCAAACACAAGACAATCAAGTGTGGAGATAAGGCTGGGAATCATCCTAGATGTGGAAACTGAGGCTCAACAAGGTCATGAGCTCAACAAGGTCAGGGTTGAGCTGGGAGCAGGACCCAGGTGTCCTGCCCCTCATACCCCAGCCTAACTAGTACTCATTTAAACAACTCTCCCACTCCCCACCTCTGCCTGCCCTCAGGGAGTTTCCTTGGCTGCACTTCCCCAGCAAGGATGATTTTCCCAGCAGGGTGGGTCCTTCCAAATTTTTGTTACTAATCCCACCATTCCTGCTGGTACACCTCAGGACCTGGGGCAGGTACAGGCAGAGAAAGGGTATGTGACCTGAGATCTTCCAGTGGATAGGAAAGGTCAGACAGGGACTGGGAGGACACAAAAGTGGAGCTGAGCAGTGGGCTGGGATGGGAGGGCAGGAGTGGGCAAGGATAGGATGGGAAGTTTGTGCTGGAAGCTCCCCTGGGAGGGAGGCTGGTGTGGCTGAGATGGGAGCTGGGAGGAAATGGCCCTGAACTTAAAGCCTCCCTCACTCTTCAAAACCCTGATGCTTTCTGGCTCTGAAACAGCAGCTTTGTCAGGGAGTGTCTGGAGTGCAGGTTGGTGGGAGAATGTTTGGGAGATGGGGGAATGGACAGGGGAGCAATGGGAGAAGGTGGGGGAGGCCTTGTGGTTTTGTAACATCTTGAATCATGGGGAGACAATCTCAGCTTTGGATTGTCTGTTATCCATTCCCTGAAGATATGGGGGGTGATCTGTGGGCACAGAGGCACAGAGTCAAACCCTGCCACTCCTGATACCCAGAGTCAAGGGAAAGGGCCAGGAGAACATGCTGGGGTCTTAGCTGTTTGCCCCCTCCTGACGGACATAGCAGGGAATGGAGGTTAGACTCAAACTAGGCCTGGGCTCCAATTCTAGCCACTTAGTACCAACTTGACCTTGGGCAGGTGTTCCAAGCCTTTGTTTTTTGTCATCAGTAAAATGGGAATAATTTCACCTACAGGACACAACATCAAAGGAGCTCCTTGGAGTCATGCATTTAACACGGTTACCCTGTACCTAATTTCAGGATAAAAATGAGACATGTCCAAAGCACTCAGCACCATGCCTGGCACAAATTTGGTAACAATTGGTTTCAAACAAGTTTGTCCATCTACAGGATGGACACACACTTGTCACAGCCCCCACCTCTGCCTTAATTCTTAAGTGTCCAGAGGTTTTGTAAGTAGTCCTGGAATGAAAGACTCTGAGGGTGGTTGGTGGGTGAGAATGTATGCAAGCTGCTTCCAGTGACTGATCTGCTCAGGGAAGCTACTTCCCGCCCCACTGAGCCTCTGCTTAACCGTATGAGCTCTCCCAGGCTTCCCTACATACTCAGCCAGGTATGGGGTATGTGCATCTTACTCACCTGCCTTTGAAGCTTGGGGCCCTTTGATGTTAGTGGCAGATGCACTATCCTGGGGCCTTTGAGAGCTCTGGTGTCAGTGGCCATTGAGGAATAAGGACTGGGGAGTTTGAGATGATGCAAATGCCCCCAGCCCCTACCTGTGTGGGCTTCTGAGTCAGACTGCCTGGGCTCCAATCCCAGCACCTCTCTTAATGAGCTGTGTGACCTGGGGCAATTCACCTGGCCTCTCTGAGCCTCAGATCTCTCATCTTTAGAAACACCCACCTCTGGGAGCTAAAGAGAGGGAGTGAGGGAGAGACAGAGACAGACAGAGAAGATTATGCTCTGTTTCGCATCTTACCTAAGACCTCTGAAAAGAGCAAGGATTCCTGGGTCCCACTCCAGGCACACGGAGACTAGAGATCTACATGACTGATAGCCTAAAAAGTTTTAGAGCAAAAAAAAAGTTTTAGAGCACTTTTAAGCTTTAATAAAAGTATATTCTATTTAATATATTTCTAGTTCAGAAGTATAAATGCTATAAATTTATAAAGAACATCAAGATTTATTTAAAGTTTTTACACTTATTAGTTTTAGGAATTTTGAATAAGATATAGCTATAGATATATATAATTTTTTTCAAGACAGGGTCTCACTCTGTCACCCAGGCTAGAATGCAATAGCACGATCATGGCTCATTGTAGCTTTGATCTCTTGGGCTCAAGCGATCCTCCCACTTCAGCCTCCTGGGTAGCCGAAACTACAGGTACTTGCCTCCACACTTGGCTCATTACTTTTATTTTTTTGTGTGATGGAGTCTCGCTCTGTCACCCAGGCTGGAGTGCAACGGTGTGATCTCAGCTTACCACAACCTCTGCCTCCTGGGTTCAAGCGATTCTCCTGCCTCAGCCTCCCAAATAGCTGGGACTACAGGCACACGCCACCATGCCCAGCTAAATTTTGCATATTGAGTAGAGATGGGGTTTCAATATGTTGGCCAGGCTGGTCTTGAACTCCTGATCTCAGGTGCCCACCCCTTGGCCTCCCAAAGTGCTGGGATTATAGGCGTGAGCCACCACGCCCAGCCCTTAGTTCTGATTCTTTTTTTTTGTTTGTTTTTGAGATGGAGTTTTGCTCTTGTTGCCCAGGCTGGAGTGCAGTGGTGTGATCTCAGCTCACTGCAACCTCTACCTCCCGTGTTCAAGTGATTCTCCTGCCTCAGCCTCCCTAGTAGCTGGGGTTACAGGCATGTACCACTATGCCCAGCTACCTTTTGTATTTTTAGTAGAGATGGGGTTTCACCATGTTACTTAGGTTGGTCTTGAACTCCTGACCTTAGGTAATCCACCTGCCTCGGCCTCCTGAAGTGCTGGGATTACAGGCGTGAGCCACCTCACCTAGCCAGTTCTGATTATTTATTCATGCCTTCTCTCTCTCTCTCTCTCTTTCCCTTTCTCTCTTTCTTTCTCCCTCTCTTTCTCTCAAGCACAGAGCCCTTCTCCCACCCATAGGCTCAGAGTTAGGTCATCAAATTCCAGCTCAACCAGTGACTCCCTGTGGAGGAGGAAGTGTGAAGGTGGGAGGCAGGTGGCAGAGGTAACTAACTGGGCTGTGGGAATCTCTGAGAAGCTTCCAGGGTGGGAAGGGAGGGCGCCCTCCTGGTGGTCTCTCTGTTTCACAAAACCTTCCCATTCCACGGGGTTCCAAGGCCAGGCTGTGCCTTCACCTCCACAACCCTGTGGGAAGCACAAGCCTGGACTTGGCTCTACCCCAGAGAGGCTGGGGGGCCATGGGAGCTGGAGAAGCTTGAGCTTCAGAGTCAGACAGGCCAGGCCCTTCCAGCTG